TTATGCCAGACAAGGTTTACAAAGCTTCCCCCTTCCCTATGACTTTAGCTATACACATCACAGCAATAGCCAGAAAAATAAAAATCAATCTGCTGGCTGGCTTCACTCCTCTATGGTTAAGTTTCATTCCTGTTCATCCTCTCAGGAAAGCAGCAACAGAATGAAACACATCTGTTGAAAATGAAACGTTTCCTCCCCCAAAGGAACTAAAATAGTGTCAGGAAAACCAGGACTTTTTTAGTAATATACAACTGTTGCTCACAGTACATCAAAATGCCCACAGACAGCTCCTGTGTGAGCACCAAGGTTCACTCTTGTGGGTACCCTAAGGTTCATCATGAACACACCCCAGGATTGCTTCAGCACAACTAAAGACACACTATTTCTGACATACATGCAGAAAAAAAAGACAGCAAATTCTAAGCATCAATATGTAAAGGGCTTCTGATCTTCTGCTCACTAAGAGCATTATCCAGGTATAATTCACAAGGGATTACTTACTTAATTCTTACTTACCTGGACATGTCTCCTGGTTGAGCATCTGTGCTCTGCTGCCAGCTATCTTTGTGTGGGGTCCTACTTCAGTCCAGACCACTAGCAGGTGAACAATGGAAGACCTCCAACAGTTGGATGGGCTTCTCCTAATTAATTCTGCAAAGCACTTTGTGCTTTGGTGCTTCCCAGACAAAACTGCTTACCTTGGCACCCAGGAGTGCAAGGATTTTACTGGGGTAGGTGCTGTATTCATGAACTTGCCAAAGCCAAGTGAGTGTTCTGATAACTTGTGTCAGGCTGACTTCTTCATCTCTGGTGGTGTTTATGTGCAAATATTTAACAACACAGAATTTGCATCCATTTTTTCCTGTAAAGGGCATGGCTTTCCCATTGCTGATAATTCCTACTTGAGAGAGTAGGACAATTATTCTACACGGGAGCTGAAGGCATTTGAAGAAACCAAACACTTTAGTAAAATATTTCCAAGAGAAATCAATGGGTACTCCTTGCCTAAAGCACTTTAGGGGCATTTTTTAGAAGTTGGAACACCATCTGCTCCTAAGTAGAGCTCTCCATAAGTCCTCCCCATTTACTGATGTAACTGATAGGAGCAGTCTGCAGATGGAGCCTCCCAGCCCAGATGGAAAGGGAATTTGGCTGGATCTAAAAACTAATTTTTTTCTTTCTGAGAAGAGGCCTTGGTATAAGCAGAAGGATGTGATCTGGACTTCTAATGGGGATGAAAAGGTTGGGATGATGTCTGCTATGTCAATTTGGAAAGAAAAAACAACACTGTTTTAGTCAATTATCTATGAATAGTAATTAGCCAGTCAAAAAGATATTTTTAAATGAAATTTACTGCTCCTACTTAAAACTTTCTACTTTGAAAACAAAAAGTCATTAGGTAATGCAACATAAAACATAAAGTATATTTACATTTAAATGTTTATTAAAACCAAGCCATTTATGCCTTTTTTATGCCTTTCCCTCTTTTAAAAAAAGTTTATTAAATCCCCCCTACATTTTGGAAGAAACTTTTGATGACTACTCAGCTCACTGATGGCAAAAAAAAAAAAAAAAAAAAAAAAGGCCAAACTATTTTTGAGCATTCCTCTATTAGCAGCAACGTGAAAATGCATTCTGAAATCCTCAAGTAAACTCCCTGCTTGTTTTATACTCATGAGTAGTTGATTAAAAGAGGACTGCTTGAATGAATAAGCAATTAGGATATGATTACATTCAGGTAAACTGTAGTAGTTTTATCTTAAAGAATTAATAAGTGACTCTCAGCTGATTTCTTAACTGCTCTCAGAAGGTGAACCACCAAGATCCTTTATAAACATCCAAGTACTGACATTGTTTCTTTAGTACCACAGCTGGTTTTTAACAGATTTCAACCAAATAACTTCTTTGTAGAATCATCTTTAACACAGTGGTCACAGTTACTTACTTATAGAATAAAAATCATGTAAATATGCATTTAACTTATGCTAAAAACAGGCTCATTTAAATAAGAGAACTGATGTTCATTTTTTCTAGTAGGAATGAAGCCTGCTGCAATCTTTCTAATGTGGATCTGCTCTAAGTGCAAATCCAGGCAGAAAGCAACACCTTTAATTTGCTCTGTGACACCCAAACTCTAATTCTGTTCTCAATTTTGTGTACATTTAGATGTTCTTAGAGCTGTATTTTTCTTAGCTATCCTTTGTGATAGTGTTTCATGCAGCATGCAAGCACTCTTCAAAGAGCTTCAGAATGAAGCACATATTTTACAACACGTTTATGGTGAATTAGCAAGTATTAATAATCTTAAAAACTTTGTCAAGCTTAAAAACCAGGTGAACAAACTCAGGCAGAATCGTTATTCTCACTGGGGAGAAACACCCAGGGGGACAAACACTCTGCTTCAACGAGGACACTTCCATGAAAATCTGTCCAGTCCAAACAATTTCCATGTGCAGCACTTTCATAGCAGTTTTCTATTAACCCAGAAAGCTTCTAAATAAAAGTTCAATGGACTGATGTTCTTCCTTGCAGTTCCTCTTCTCTCAAGGGAATGACAGGGTTTCCCAGGCTGCCCTGTAAACTGTGTGGAACATTCTCCCTAATTCTGTATGTCCTGAATTTTTCAAATCCTGCCTTACAATTTTTTATTACCTTTCCATATATCCAGTCACCAATGTGAACTGAACAGATGCATGGTGATAAATCTGGTTTATCTACTACAGCTCTTCTTCCAACCATGACCCTTTTTCCCCTTTTGATTTCATCCCATGTTGTATCAGCATGCAACTGATTTAAACTCCACGGACAAGAAACAGCCACCTTTAATTACCTGTATGCCACAGCATTGCCTGTAAGTTTCAGACACTTAGGACACCTTTTCTTCAAAGCGATATACACACAAGTTGAAAATGGGAATACTCATCTCAACGTCTCAAGAAAGTCAGTCAAGAAAGGGAGTAGGAAAATACTATTGTTCTTCTTTTCCAAAGAGGAAGGTGAGACAAAGTCATGCCAGAAACCTGGGACAAAGCCTATGTTTGAATATACATGTTTATCCAAGATCATAAGCACGGCCCCAGCCTGACAACCAGAATGAATACCTAGAGTACCAAAGAAAGCAGTGAAAGCTGAGCTATATAAAATAATAAAATCAGAGAGCTGCATTTATGGTAGAAAATAGAAGGGGCAGCAGAGATGATACCCTGGAATCACCTACCAACAGGAACAAGAAACCAGTGATCAAGAGGAGGAGTACTGATGAAGAGATTTCCTCCCCATCATGAGTTGGAGCTGTTGATGAGAGAATATATATGCAATGAACATATAAAATATAGATTTATATATACAAATATACAATAGGAAATAGTCAGTATACAAATACTTACATGTAAAAATAGTTTTTTACTTTCCCCTTTTCTTGATTTACAAAAGCATACAAAGTTTCCTGTTCGTTAATGTTTAAGTAGTGTGAGTAAACCCTGTGTGACTTGTTCCACACATAATTCCTTCAAGTGTTCACAGTATTGGCTATTACAGTGTTGAATCTGACATTCTCGATGTTAAAATATTCATAGGACACATTCTAAAATTAAAGCATTAGTTTAAATACAGTTTAAATAAAACTCATATGTGTATTTTATGGTCATATTACAAATGAGTCTGCTGCAGTTAAAAACTTTCCATGACAGTAAGCTTGGAAATACATACTTAAACTAGAGATGAGTATATTTTAAGATTCTTGAACTGCCTTTTAATGTGCAGATAATACTGTGAGATGGGGAATTCTTTCAACTTCATCTGAAGCAATGCAAGCTGATAGAACTCAGTATTACAAATTATCCTCAGTAGGAAAGCGATGCACAGAACAATTTGCCATCAGAGTCAGACGCACTGTCACTTTCTTCAGACAGACCCAACAGACAAGAATAAATGACAGGTACCATTGTTTTTGTGTTAAAAATAAATGATCTGGAGCATTCTGCATCAGGAAAGTGCTTTAAATTAAATTAGTCCTCACAACTCTCTTGTGAGGTACATAGACACTACCCTTTTTTTAAAGATGGAGAAACTGGAGATCTAAAATAAATTATGATGGCTGCATGGGAAATACTGTCAAAATACTGTTATTTGGATGCTGGAGCAAGTCAAATGCACAACTGGAGTAAATGGAGGTATTAATGAGACAACTTTACACTCACCAGCTTGGGTACTGACAGCAGGCTTGGTACAACAGCCAAAGGTTCATCATGGGCTGCAAAACACAATCTTTGCCAAGTGCCATTCTGCTGGAGCTGAAGTGTAGGACAACAGCTTCAAAAAGCACAAACTACACAGTCCTAGCTGACCAAGGTGGAAGGAAGCTGCATTTCAGAATTTATTAATTAATCAGGAGTCTTGAGTAGGTAATATCTTCTCATTCAACAGTTGGGTACAGTTCAAGAACCATGCTTAGCTCATCTCTAATTTTACCATATATGCAAGTGCTCACAAGATACTGTGTATCAATACATTCAGCTGTTGTTTTTTAAAATTTACTCACTCCTAGACCTTGGAGGTCTGTATTTTTCCTCACATTTCTCTTGTTGAAAATTTCTACTGATACCACAAATGGAACTAGTGCTTCAGTGCAGCAAATGAGCTGCGAATAATAATTTTAAATATCTGAGATGATGGACAATTTTCAAAGGACCACCATGCTCTCTGTGTGCACCTGTATATACAGAAAATCTCATCTGTCTTAACTCCTCCTGCCTTGAAGTAAAATCCAGTTAAAGTATAAAGTGCATAGTGTGGATTAAAACCCTAAGAAATAACAAACAATGTGTCTGCCTTCCACAGATGATTAATTTTGCTTAACAGCTGAACCACCACCATCTTTGTCTTCTGGTTTTTAGTTTAGTGTTACCTAGGCTGAGAAAGCCCAGCCAGATGTAAGCAAAACTATTGTAAACTGAGACATTTTGTAATATGCTGTCAAGGGAGAGTTAAGTAAACCAGTATCAAGACACTGTCCAGTTGGGATGTGTGAATATTATTGTGTGCTTCTTGGCCCACTTAGCAAATACTTTCTTTTCTGTGATAAACCTGTGCCCTCCATATGGAGCATTTTCATGGAGAAAGTATTCCTCACACTCATCTCTTCCTGGCTCATAATAGTGGTAGGGAACTTTGCGAAAGCCTTCTGACCTAGGGAGAAGAAAGATATACTTCAGTAGTATCCTCAAGAAAAACATAAATAAGTAACACACCTGAATACAAGATACAAGCATTCCCGGCTTGGATCAGTAACAGTGTGGCCATTAGGGCAGTGATTGTACCTTGTTCTCAGCATTGCTGAGGCCACACCTCAAATCCCCTGTTAAGTTTTGTGCCTCTCACTCCAAGACAGACACTGAGGTGCTGGAGTGAGTGCAGAGAAGGACAATGGAGCCAGTGAAGGGTCTGGAGTACAACTCCCACAAGGAACAACTGAGGGAGCTGGGAGTCTTCGTCCTGGAGAAAAGGAAGCTCTGGAGGGACCTAACTCTTTACAACTGCTTGAAGGGCGGTTGTAATGAGGAGAGGGTTGGTCTCTTCTCCCAAGGAACAAGTGACAGGACATGAGGAAATTGCCTCAAACTGCATCGTGGGAAGTTCAAATTGGATATTTGGAAAAATTTCTTCACCAAAAGGGTTGTCAAGCCCTGGAACAGGCTGCCCAGGGAAGTGCTGACTCACCAGCCCAGGATGTATTTAAAAGATGTGCAAATGTGGCACTTGAGACACACTTTAGTGCAGACTTGGTAGTGCTGGGTTAACAATGGAACTCCATGATCTTAAAGGTCTTTTCCAACCTAAACAATTCTATGAATGATCTGAAATCATGTCCATGTGTCAGCACTTGAACTCCTTTGCTAAACTATAAGGGCTTTCATTACATCATGAATTCTAAGAGTTTTCCTAAGGCAGAAGAAGCTCAGTGTATCTCTCAGCACACACCGATCCCACCAGTCAGTGAGGAGCAGATGGGCTGGCTCTTTTTATTTAACTTGTGATAACTCAGCCCACAAGGCTCCCTCCCTAGACAACGTCTTCTCACTGGATAGTCCCAGCTGTTGAAACTGGTTCTTGAACTGGCTGAACAAGGCAGTTATAAGGGTAACATCCAATTTAAGTGGGTAATTCAGTCAGAATCACAGTTTAAAGGGGACATCCTTCTCTGCTGCCAACAGCGCTATCATGCTGTTGACTGGTTTTACATCAGGGCTATGCAATGCCAGCTTGGTTGAGCTCTCTGAGGACAACCTTAGTCCTGTCACCCCTCATCCCAGGGTGCCTACTGTGTGTTTTCATAAACAAAGAACAACATATGTTCATTCTGTTCATTCCATCTGGATGACTCAATCAGTGAGATTTGCAAGTTCTAAAAAGTCAGCCTCTAATGTTAAGATATCCTAATTAAACAGCTGTGATTCAAATTCTGTTGTTTGTGACATTTTTTAGGTTCTGCCAGGAATGAGTCTCACACTGGAGTGACACAGAATGTGGAGTGAGAATCTGCACAAAGGCTTGACTTTAGGAGCTTGTGATGCACTGGACTGGTTACATGCAGGACTTGGGCCAGCTTAGGTACAGAAGAATAAATGTGTATGTACTAGTACCATACATTGTTCATGACATTTCCTGCTTTATTGCATGAATGAGGAATAGTTTCACTTTAAATTTTTCTACCATACACAGCAGATTAAAGTATTTAACTTGGACTTTTAAAAATTGTGTTTAGAGTTACATTTCTGACCATAGGATTAATCCACTGTCACTGTAAGGTCACCAATAGTAGTTGGTTGGAATTTATGTCAGTTTATGGTGATAAAGCTCACAGGACTTATTTTATTATCTAATTAGAACCCTCTACTTCTCAAAACAAGCCATATATAACTGAGAAAGTTCAAGTAGGTTGCTCAATGGTAGTGAAATGTAATTTCAGGTAACTATCCTGGGCTAATCATTTTATTTCACTTCCACTGTATTTGGTATTCAGAAAGCAATGTATTAGTTTTTTCCTCTATAGATTTGTTTTAGCAATGGAAGCAAGTACATTTTATCAAAAGAATATGAGCATACTTTGTTTCCAGCTAATTCAGAAACTGCAAAAGATCTTTGATTAAAAATAGCTCCTTATGACATCTGATGTTAGATTTTGTAAATGTTTTTATTTTATCAACAGCACATGCCATATCAGGAGGGAATATGCTGACAATAGTGTCACATCAATGCAAAACACTGGGAAATGACTGCCTGATCCATTTTTTGGATTTATAATATTAAAATCAATTGTGAAATTTTGACAAGACATCAGAATTGTAGATGCATGAAAATAATTTTCTATGATCTTACTTGCAGTAGGTGTCATTTATCATCCCATAGACGTGAATTCCATAGCAGGCATCCATAGCCAAAATTAAGGTGAACCAACCTGTGCTGAGATATGAACCTGACTGGACTCTGTAAAATATAACACACACAAAACAAACTGCAATGAGAAATTATCAACACTTTATCAAAGAAATACAATCTATTGCCTGGGACAAAAGGCATTATGCAGCTTGACAATCTGACAAAACCATACAATTACTTTGAATTATTTATAAATATGCTCTCATTCTTCCCAGCTTGGGGCCTCCAGCTATTTTCCACAAAAAAAAAACCCCATGTTCAATATCAGAAGTCAAACAGTGTATCTCTAGTAAAACAGAAAATTATTTATTTTCACATCTGAAAGACAGCAATTAGTGGAGTTTGTAAAATGAGATAAAGTTTACCAAAACACAAAAGCAAAACCTGCAAGCAAAACCTTAATCTGCAGTGAGCTATCCTCAACCTGAAAATTCACACAATAAGGAAAATTCCAAGGATATTTTGGTACAAAACCATCTAATACAAGGTTCTGAAAAACAAAATTCTGTGCATATCTCTTTACCTAATTTTGTGTTATAATTCTTCGAGCTACCATAGCAAAGAGAAAAGCACGAGAGGAGTAGTGCCCACACTGACAGTCTAGATATATTCAATCAGCCCAGAAGTATTACCTGCACCAGTGAGAAGAATTACATGTGTAATCTAAGGATTTGGCTCACAGACTAGTTGTTTGAGCAAACACATGCATTGTTAACCACAAACCAAATCCTGTTGGCTCTGCTCACACCGATGTTACCAGTGGGGGACTGGGAGTCAATGGATTACCCAGATAACCTGGACATGCAAGACTCACTGCTTCCACTCCTCACCAGTAGCGAGAGCACACTCACCCCTTGCTGCTCATGAACTGGGTGAAGTCCAGCCTTGTGCATGTATTGCTTTCAGTTTGACTGAAATCAGTAAAAATAATTATCTTCAAATTATTTTAAAATGTCCCGTTTCCAAAGAAAGACGCCACAAAACTCAAAAAACCCACAAAACCATCTTAATAGAGCACCTTAATAGAGCTGGGTGTGAGTGAGAGGAGGGGATATATGAGCTTTCTGCCACACCTGTAAGTTCTTAGCTTTTGTGTATGTCTGCTCTCCATCCTAAGTTAAAGCAGCCTAACATTTGCACACAATTAAGTTTTGCTGTAAAAGAACTCCCAAGTATGCCTATGTACAAATCAGTTATTGTCACCAACAAAATCTTCTGAAAACATTTTCATCCTGGTGTAGGAATAAAACTTTCATATGGAAAAAAAAACAACCCTACAGGAATTTACTCAGCCTATGAGCCCCAACTTGCCTGTGAGACAGAAGAACCAACCTCAGGTGTTTTTTCCTGGTTCAGAGCAAAAAGGTACTCCAGTCTCCTGCCTCCCTCCTCTGCATCAATATACCAATCAGTGGCTTTTGGCACAGATTCTGTGTCCCACCCTTGCTAAAGCTGAACTAAATACTACTTAAGACAATGGTTGAAAAAGTAGTTGTACAACCTTTATCATGACAATTACCTGGCACATACAGGTTTGAGATTCAAATTCCTTCTCTGTGTAATACCTTTTATTATGGATACTAGAAAAGTTCCAAGAGCTTTACATTCCTAAAGAAACTCCAGTACACTCCAGTTTAAATAAACCTTTGGTTTTTTCAGTGTAAAACAATTGCCTCCGTTCCCAGAGCTGAGTCCAAGAACACTGAAAGTAGTTAAAATATTCTCTTCCTTGCCTATGTCTGTCACCCTTCATGGTTGAGCTGGTGTGAACTTCTATCCCTGCCTTTCCTGAAATATCCTTTCCCTTGGGGAAACAGCTAAGTATCTGTTTAGCTGCTTTTGTAAAGATCATACTGGAAATAATAAATAAAGGGTTAACTTAAACTGAAGAACGACAACTGGAAACTAAAGGCAGGGTGTCAAACACCCAGGTTTCATTAGGTGGAAACCAACTGTAATTGTGCTGCTTTTTTTGACACCTTTATAGCCACAAAAGTGTACAGCTGTTTATCTGTCCCATCAGGATCTTCATCTCTTCAACCAGAATGTTCTGCTACTGTCTAGCAGGGAGAATTCCCAATCCAATTCATGTTATTTCAAAATAACATTCTGCCATGATAAAAGGCTGCATTGCTTCTAACTTGCTTTCTGCTCTTGCACCAGGAAAACACTGGCCTTGAGCTTTCAAAGCGTTTTAGAATCATAATAACCATTTATAAGAACACGATGAAGATCAGGACCCTTCCGATAATGCAGGTTTATTGGAGAGCACTATATTGACAACAGCATCTGAAATTTGCTATACTCAGGAGGAAAAAGGAATTTTAAAAAAGAATTAATCAATATTTCATGTCTTGTTTTAACACCATTGGACCTTAGTCCTCTCATCTATATACTGCACTGGCAGGATAAATAAAAACAGCAGAGTGAGTTCCCAGGTACCTTCCCTGGGAGATGAAGTACATGACAGAATACAGATTATATACTTTAAACCAAAGCACTTATATTCATCCCTTTTTTTTCCTCTGAAGGTACACAGGGATATAAGGGAATATACTTAAGCAGTGGAGATTCTGGATGATTTGGTAACACCTTAGAATTCAATCTGATACCATAAACATGCTTTCAAAATTCTAATGAAAACAATATTAGAAATGCGAAAACAATTTTAGCCATCCCTAAAAAGCCATAAATCTCCGAATACCTTTTAAAATATCATCCCATAAAACTGTAGTGCAAAGCAATGTCTC